AACTAAGTGGATCCACTGGTTTGCACTAAAAGCACTAAGTAATCATCTAAAATGTATGATTCTTTCTACCCATTTGACTACATAGTTTATAGAGACATTGAGTTTTTATAAACGTGTCCCCACATTCATGCTCAATACTACTCTTAAAATACTCAGTTTATATGTTTAAAAACATAAACTCTTTCTGTGGTTTGAGATAATTACTCAAAAACTAGCTCAAAGTCTCTCTTGAAATTTGGTGTTTCCTCTCTTGTTTAAATGTAAAAACAATTGTTATTTGCAAATACTTAGTTCTCATATACTCTTTTTGAAGAAATGAACTTCATTTCTTACTCTTAATTAACTCAAAACTCAAGTCTTAAACCAATTTTAAAGTGTTTGCAAAAGACTTTTTTAAAGGCCTCTAAGAAATCTCCAGACTTAACTCTTAACTTTCCTTGAATTTGAATTTATGGATTCAAGAATTTGTGATTTTTGATAAGAAAAATTTGATAATTCTTAGGAGTGTTTTTAGATAGTTAAACATGAGAAACGATCAAGAAATCATTGTGTATAAGCAACTCTGCAATGCAGAGATGCATTTAAGTATTTGGTTGCGAAACAAATTTTGAGCCAGAAGGGTCTGTGACCGCTTCTGGACATGGAGAAAAAAATTCACATCCTGAGGAACCTGGTACCTTTATTTTCCCAACTTTTTCCTTTTTCATTTTCTAACCCCAGATTTGTTCTTTTCTCAAATTCTCTTTAGATTCAGATTTTTAGCTAATGTACACAAGAATCTATTCATAAAATACTCTAAAATCGATACGATTTTCTCAAGAACTCAAAACTTCGAACTTAACTTAAGAATGAAAGCCAATATTCAAAAAAACAATTCAAAATCAACAACTTACAACTTTCTAGAATGAACTTCACTGGGCTAAACATGATTGACACTGGGTGAACGAACTCAACACTATGAAAGTCTCACATACCTCTTTAGGGATCAATCCTTGGCAAAAAGATTTCGATTCTGCAAGAAATCTCAAAAAGATTCCTTGACTTTTCTCCTCTTCTCTCTTATCTCTTCTCTCAAAGACCTAGCATAAATATTAATTGCATAAACTTAACTAAATCAGTTAAAGACACCAAATAATTTACTAAAAATGGATTAATTAATTGTTTAATGAAACCACCAAAATTCCCCTCTTTAATCCTATATTAACCTTCCTTATTTATATATCCCAACTTCGAATGGGCATATCTCCCTCATACGAACTGAAAATTTAGAAAACTCAGCGATGTTAGAAAGATGATTCATAGATGTTTTCTAAGGTTTCTTGCACACCTAATTATCCTAATTTAGGAGTTATGGTCGTTTGAAGTTTACCCAAAACTTATACTTATCTTAACTTTCTCAAACTTTCCAATTTTATTATGTCCAAAACGGTTTCTTTCTAATTCTAGTTCCTTCTAGTTCTTTGACATAGCAAGGTGTTACGGATAGCTAGCCTCGTACTCATATATCCACTAAAAACCAACGGTCTTCAAAGTAAACTTAGTCAATGGGACTACAGTGGAAGAGAATCTTTGAATGAATCGGTGATAATTACCTACTAATCCAATAGAGCTCCGAATCTCGATAGCGAAAGCGGGTATCACTAAATCATGAACTGCTGCAACCTTAGCTGGATGAAACATAATACCCTCCTTAGTCACTACATTACCGAAGAAACCTACAGACTCAAGCCAAAACTCATATATAAAAATTTTTGCATGTAGCTTCTTCTCTCTCAACTTTTGAAGCACGGTCCTTAAGTGACAAATATTATCACCCTCATTCTTGTAGTAAGCCAATATGACATCAATAAACACAATGATGAAGGAATTCAAAGAAGGTCTTAACAACCATTTCATCAACTCAATAAAACTGGGGCATTAGTCAACAGAAAATATATGACCATCAACTCATGATTCTTGTAACAAGTCTTGAAAGTTGTTTTCGAAGATCTAATTCTCGAACCTTCAACTGATGGTAACCCAACCCCAAGTAGTGTTTGGAAAAACAGATGCACCATGAAGTTGATCAAATAAATAATTAATGCAAAAAATAATGTAGTCATTCTTGATCATTACTTTGTTTAATTGATGGAAGTCAATACACATATGCATAGTATCATTTTTCTTCTTCACAAACTAAATCACTATGCCCCACGGAGAAACAGTAGGTCAAAGGAGCCCTTTCTTCAACAAATCCTCTATGCTCTTTGAACTCCTCTAACTTGCTCAGATCCATGAGATAAGAAGAAATCGAAATGGTCTTGATGCTCAGATCCAAATCAATCACAAAGTTAATAACACGTTTCTGATGAACACCTGATAAATCTATAATAAACACGCTAACAAACTCTCTTACCACCCTCGTGGTCTCTACAAAACACGGACCTTGGTAAGATCACAAACATGAATTAAATATGATAAGCAAGTGTTTTCCATCATGTGACGAGCACATCGAAATGATATCACTCTATTTCAACACTTACTCGGAGAACCCTTCGACTCTAATCTTGGTAAATTGAGAGAAGCTAAGGGCATGGTCTTAGCAAAATAATCTAAAATCACATGATAGGGAGATAACTAGTTCTTACTCAAGATCACATCAAATTCAATCATATCTAATAAAATAAAGTTTGTCCAAAGCCTCACTACCTGATAATGTCATTACACACCCCGGTACACATGATGCATCACTATAGAATCATCTACTGGAGTAGAGACACCGAGGGGTCGTTTGGTAGGGATTATTACGAGACATAGTCCAAGCACTACATATAATACTCTTTAGTACTATGTTTGGTTGGAGATTTTGTCCTATATATAACTAATACATGTACTAATCCATGTACTAGTTATACACTCTACATGATATTATAGGATATATAATTAATATCTTTAGTTTAGTGTATTATTTATACATAGAATTTAATACCATGGGATTAATTTATGTAAAACAAAAATACCCCTAAAATCTTTATAATTATTTTGTTTATTTTTTTGATATTTATATTTTATATTTGTACTGGAAAATTTATCTAAATAAATTAACTAACAAGTTTTATTATTTAAAAGGGATAATGCACAAGTACCCCCTCAATCTATGCCGGAAATCCCAGAGACACACTTATTCTATACTAAGGTCCTATTACCCCCCTGAACTTATTTTATTAATAATTTTCTACCCTTTTTTAACCTAGGTGGCACTATCTTGTGGGCCCAATGTTGGTTAACTTTTATTTCAAGCTAGTGTCATGTAAGCCGAAAAAGGGTATAAAATTACTTATAAAATAAGTTCAGGGGGATAATAGGACCTTAGTTTAGTATAAGTGTGTCTCTGAGATTTTCGGCATAGATTGAGGGGATACTTATGCATTTTCCCTATTTAGAAAGTCGGTTGCTGCTAAATTAATCGAATACAGTCAATAGAATATTTTAATGTGAGTTGTTTACATTTACCAATTTTAAAAGCAAATATATGACCACATGAGGTTTGTGAACATAATTGACTGTCTTATTTGTTGATATATGTGATTTTCTAATCATTTATGTTTTGAACAATTTATATAATCGCATAGATATCAAAATTACAACTTGCAATTTTTATTTCTAAATATAAATGGTTTATTCAATTTTATTTTTGTTTACCATTTTTTCAATTTTAAAAGTAGACAATTCTATCCTTTTAAAATTGAATATTGGTGTTTCGTAAGGGATTAATATATCAAGATAACAATTATTTACCCTCAATTAAATCAAGGGAGAAAATAGAAATATAGCAACAAAATTGCTTTTCTCTTATTTAGTTAGAAGGTCACCAAAAATTAATATTGTTCGCAACTAACTACTTTACCAATTATATAATATAATAATAATTCACTGATATAAATACAAAGAAATATTTTAAAGACTTTTATTCCCAAGACAAGATTAGATGGGCTGGAACAGACCAAACAATTAATTAATCATATATCTTGTATTACTAATCCATGTATTATTGATCCCTACATTATTAATACATGCATTATTAATCTTTATACCAAATAACCCCTAGTATTTACTACAAGGAAGTCACACACAGAATCAATGTAAGAGGGGATCAAGTAACACTGTAGTGAGACTATTGCATTTGAGAGGTCTGTCTAAGTATAACTTAGCTACTAGCCTAAGAACCACCATGATCACTACCTCAAGATCTACCCTTCGTAGAACATCTAGCACTCTATGAACTACTGAGATGGTATAGCACTGAAAAAATCTCAAATTAAACACTAGAAGGAGCACGTTTGGGCAATACCTTGACTTGTGACCAAATTCATCACAAACATAGAAATTTCAAGGATAAAATTAACCAAAAGGGGTTGTACGTCCTCCTTGTATAACCACTACAATGTTCACCATGACTAGTTTGATTGGAACTATGTCTGCTAGCACTATATGTTCTTTGTATTACTACATGCGCTAGTCAACACTGATACTTATGGGTGCATAATCTCGACCCCGGCCATTGGACTAACTCTTTGTGACACCGTCCTCTCTAGGATGTCAAATACTATCAATCATCCTAGCATGGTTGACAAATTATGAAGCAAAAATAGAATATACATATCGCATCGACTCATAAACAACGATCATTATATATAAAGATCGATGGTAATCAGTATATCATGTATGCATTTCAACAAACACTAAAGATGCACAAAACATAAATAATTATATTACAAGTATATGGATCACAATATTTTACTTAAGATTTTCCTCTACAACATAACAAATTAGATATATTCATATTCAAAAATTAGAAAACAAATGAAACTAAAATATATTGATTATATATGGCTTGGATTTTCCCACAAGATGAGAAAATACATTAAAATATTCATCAAATTCATAATATAAGTAATCATATAATAACATATATTATTATTAATCTGGAATATATTATGCTAATAAAAGCAATTATCAAAATTGTGCTTAAGATTACTAGACCAGCTTTAAAGATGTAAGTATATTTCGGTGAATCTAAGAGCGTAAAACGAATTCATTTTATGAGCTAATTAACACCTCTCTTTCCATCGATTATCGAAAAGGGGCCGCCTGAATTTCTACTCAAAAATTTACAAAAGCAAAACATTAAAGGAAAAAAACATTGGAAATTATATGTTCTGGGATTTGAAATTGAAAAATATAATAGAGATGCAATTTTTGAGGGGGTTCAGATTTTTGCTTAATGTTCCCAAGGAAAGAACCTTTTGAAGGGTCTTCTCATACAAGAGGTGTCAGAAATAGAAAAGTGCCATCATCTTTGCACCTAACAATTAATCAACTGTTCGGAAGTGAGAGAATATATAAAGTAGTTTTGACGATTGATAAAGTGAGTATGGTTCATTACTTGTTGTCTTGTGTACTTTAACTGCAGATGACATGTACATGTATGAGAGATTGCGGCAAAGAAGAAAAAATTCAAAAGTAAAGAAGGAAAAGAAGGAAACAAATATGGAAAGAAATAAAGAAGAAAACAAGTTAAAAAATAGCAGTTCAAGTCAAATAAGGAAAGTAATAAAGAAGTTACAATTCAAGTCAAATAAGGAAAGAAAAATATAGAAAAATTCAAGAAGGAAAAGGATTTGTAATTATTTTCCTTGTAGAAGTTGAAGACAAGTTAAACTCTACAAAAAGATCAAGAAGTTAAAGGAAAAAAAGTATCTTTGCAATAACAAAAATCGAGAGTACTTTTCCAGCAAAGCCAGATTGATAGATATTGCATAATCACGAAATATATAATCTTGAGAGTAATAGTTATTGGAGAAAAATCACAGAGCTTCATCACAGCAACGTAAGGACTAGGTTCACAAAAAAAAATTCACTCTAAACTATTGAATGTTGAAGTCTGATCAATTAAAGTCTAGGGTTATTAGTCTTTGTTAATTTATTCGAGGTTTATTATTGAGTTGCAATAATTACTAGATTGTGTAACAAGAACTGAATTTGACTTCTTGGGAGTAGAGTCTTGAGAGAATTGTAACAAAAAGTTGGTTTGACTTCTTGATAGAGAGGGTGTGAGAATTGTAAAGAAGGAGTGGGTTTGACTTCTTAGGTGGTTAGATTTAACAATAGTTGAGAGGTTTTGTAAACAAGAAGCGAGTTTGACTTCTTGGTGAGTGGATAGTTATAGTTAATTGAAAAGGGTAGAGTTTAAATTTAGATTCACTAATTAACGGAGTTGTAAATCTTGAATTAATATAAAACATCAGTGTAGTTTTTCCCTTCCTTGAGTTTGGAAGGTTTCCACGGTAAATCTTTATTTTATTGTGTTACGAAAAAATTACAAGAACCTGGTTCTTGTAATTAAGGATAAGGTTTCTTTAGGTTGTACCAGCGCAAGTCTTTTCATTAAAAGACTAACATCTTTAAAAGGATCAATCGCCTTACCACCTACACTATAGGAAGGAGCTTCTCCAACTCGACCACTACTGTTTAATTGAAAGTATTATGGATGGTGGTAGAATTGCATGATGGATCACTTACTAGGAGAAATAAAGACCTATGGGGAGTTGTGTTTGACGGTCTAACCATAGCCATGAAGAATGGAATTGATGGAACCACTCCAGTACCAAAGGATCGGAAAGAATGGAATGTTATAGATAAACTTGCAATTCAAAACAATGCTAAATCGAAAACAATCTTTGATTTGTGAAATAGGTACAGATGAATAAAATCGAATATTATCATGTAAAGATTCAAAAGCAATATGGGAAACTTTGTAAACTGCGCATGAAGAAACAACTCAAGTAATGAAGTCAAAAATAGATAACTTTAACAAACAATATGAACTATTTCAAATGGAAGAAGGTGAAACAATCCAAGTGATGCACACTAGGTTCAGTACTATCATTAATGAAATCAACTCACTAGGTGAAATAATTTCCAATAGGAAGGCAATCAGAAAACTTTTGAGTGTTCTTCCAGAATCTTGGGAATGCAAAATAGAAGTCATTACTGAAGCACTTGATCTAGATAAGTTAGATATGGATGAACCCATCGAAAATCTCATGACCTATGAACTCAAGAAAAAACAAGAAAAAGAAATTGGAGGCAAAAGAAAGGAGAAGAACCTGGTTCTTACAAGCATAACACCAGAAGAGTTTGAGGACGAAAACATTGCATTAATGACCAAAAGGTTCTCAAGAATGTCAAAATACGGAAAAGTGTTCCACGGAAGGAACTCTCAAAAAATCACTGAAAGTCCAACTGATCAAGTATGACACAAGTACGGAAGTCCGGATCACTTTGTCAAGTTTTGTCCATTAAAATCTCTAGAAAAAAAGAGGAATAGTTCCGAGAAACAAAAGGAAATCAAGAATGATAAATACATTCCCACAAACAGATGAATAACCAATCAAGAAGTTGATCTTTCAATGAAAAGGTACTTTGCCGCTATGGGGGACTTATCAGAAGAAGAATCTAGGATGGAGGGTTCGAAAATCAATCACTACTTGCAATAGAATAATCAAATAAATATCATTTTATTGCACTCATTACTGAAACAGATTCTGAAGATGATGAAGAAGGTGACAAACAAAGCAAGGTAAGTTTTCATCACATTAAAGTTAATACTGATTCATATTATAAAAAAAGAACTAGAGTCCCTGTTGAGTACTCATATAGATGCATATCAGTCAACTAGTCCTGAAAGAGAACAAATAATGGAAAACTATGTATCTTTCAGAGTAGAAAATGACAATCTTGAGAAACACAATCATTATCTATAAAATAAATTAAAAGAACAGATTAAAATCTCAGAATTAAGTAACAAGGGAATAAACTCTTATAGTGAACATCAGTTTGCTCTAGAAAAAAATTGTTAACCATAAATTGTCAGGCCTTAAATATAAAAAATAGGTTGCTACAAGAAACGTTTGATCATACAAAACTTGATTTGGATCGAAATCTTAGATGGAACAGGTCCTCTCAAATTTTAACTCAGATTCAAGAAAGAAAAACCACCAGTCAAAGTGGGATAGCTTTTAGAAAACAAAAAAATATTGTAGCACACACTATTCACGTGTCTAAAAGTGTATGCACTCATTGTGGAAACTCATGGCATTTAAAGAATCAATGTAAAACTCTATTTGATGCTTTTTATAATAATGTTAGGTTCACCAAAAAGGAAAAGGCTGATATAGCTAAGAATCAGGTACCATATAAAAATGCTCCTGATAAAAAGTTTTCTGATCTGCCTTTGTAGGATAGAAGAAATCTTATTGATCCTTTTACTCACATAAAGGGGACCAAGCTAATCTGGGTTCCCAAGACTAATCTTTGACTAGTATTTCAGGTGAAGGTTATAGGGAAAAGATCAACTTAGTACATGAATAGTGCATGCTCCAAACATGTGCTAAAAATGATAGAAAATTTCCTCTTGCTCTTTGATTTTCAAGGCGGCAGTTTAGTCCTTTAAAAGGATGAGAAATGCGAAAAATACAAGTAAAATAAATAAATAAGTTGAAGAAAGTGACATTATATCAAACATCTTTGATGATGCAACTTTAAGAAACATTGCATATGAACCTAGTTCACATCTAACAATCATTGATACACCTTAAAGATGAATTATTGTACTAACCTATGGTCTTGGAGATGGGGGGAATAATAAGGCAATAGGATAGTTAGACTATGGTACGCCTTCAAGGGGAACTTTGTTGTGTGAACCTGGTCCTTGTTATTCATTTGAAGTTATTGAAAGTTTATAAAGGTTTGTTCTCTGTGACTCGCCTTAAGATTCATTTTATCTAGGGGAATATGATGATGAGACATACTCATGAAGGCCTTAAATATGAAAAACTTGAGAAAAATCAGCCAAAGCCTAGCTTATCGAAATAAGTTAATGCATTATTGTGATTTCCTTTAGCAATTGGCTAGTAAACTAGTAATCTTATGCTTGTGTAGTTATACAATGAATATCTGCTAACTCAGTCTCGTACTATGATAGGTACACACTCCACACACATCTTTAATAATGTTTAGAAGGTCTGCAGATATTATCTCAACTCTTTCGCTAAAGGGGGAAACTGGTTTCTCTATAATATTCAAGTATGTACCATCCTTTTTCAATGCATGAATGTCCCGAGTTTGGGTCAAACATAAGAACTAGTGAACCTGGTTGATCATCAAAAATTAAAATCTTATAAAAACACCAAGAACCCTCTTTTACAATAAGCATCATTCAATCACAAATCGTTCTAATGATGCAAACCTTAGTCTTCAATCCACTCATGTTTTATTTTAGGGGGAACTTTGCTTGACCTCTCACTTCGGAACTAAGTTCACAAACTCCAAATTGATATTTCATCCATTCCAACCATATAACCTGTCTATGTCTCAGGGGAAACAATTCTCATAGAAATAAATTGTTGCTTTCTTTCATTATTGGTAAACATATCTCTATGCGCACCAAAATGTGGTGAATCCCTTACTTGTAGTTTGTACTCCTTCAAAATGTCATAAAGAAAAAGGCTATTAAAAAAATTCATGGAGGAATGAAAATGTTATGGAGTAGAGTTAAAAAAATTGATGATGTACCTCATGTTTCTCTTGATGAACATTCTAATAAAACTGATCAGAACGAAGGAGCTGGTGCACAATAGGCATACTGAAAAAAAATTATTAATGGCAGTAAACATCCCTTTCATCCTCACTTTAGCAAACGTTGTCCCAATCCTTAACCTCAATTTTTTGGACTCTTTGACTCGTTTATGTACTTATGTTTTTCTCATACATATGATATCATATGCTTTTGATTTAGGGCTCTAAGGTCTTAAACTAGTACATATTTATTTATTCATTTTCTCATTGAAGATGTTGATTGTGTGTGAGTTTAAGATGTATAATATTCTTATATTAACTTACTATATTTTTAGCAGAAGTGTACTATAAAGTGTCACCCAAGTGGCCATGAGTTAAAATGATATTGCACTCATTGAATGTTAATCGAGTTCTTTGGTTATTCATTTTCGATGATGCCAAAAGGGGGAAATTATATAATTTGGATAGACATAATATGTATAATTTGTCATCATCAAAAATAGGGAAAATTTTT